ATTCATTATTTCTTCATAAAGTGCAATATTAGATCAGTGGAGAGCGCCCCTTAAATTAAATGACCAAAACCATCTGCCATGCAGCGACCCTGAGGCCTTTGGAGCGCCTCAGCATCGGCTTGCACAACGTGTGTACTGTTACAAGTTGAAGCAACTTTGCAATCTTCAGTTCACATTAGTCAGCGCTTGACGTTTTGGATTCATACAAAATTCAAAATGACAAGTGCTCTTATGGCTCAGGGGAGTCTTCACAACAGAGCGAGAGAGGAGATGATGCCGTCTTCTTCTCTATTTTCAACTCTTTCATTGGATTTGCTAGTTCATTGGTGCCTACATGACACCTTTGCATACAGTGAAAAAACTACATGCGTGTTCAGAGTCATGACCTCTATATGCTGCTCCTACCTAAAATACAGTATGTTTTCTAATAGGCTTTTCCAATATACCTACCTCCACTGAGATATAGTTTATGGAAACCTACAGAGATTAATATCTATTACCTGTTATTCAATGTCTACATCTGTGGTTATCCCTGATCATGCTTATCCTTTCTTCCACTTTATAGAATAACAGCATGTTGCTTCAAAAACATACACATGTTTGGAGAAGACTGAAATATGATGAGCTGAAGGACACAGTTCAGCAGTAAAGATACTGGAAAAGATTTCCTGCTGACTTGAGGCCAAAGTTTTGAATCTAACATCCTGGTAATCTGTCATGATCACTGGCTCTGCTTGTTCTGGCACAATGTCCAAGTGTTATGTGCCGTCTGTACGTTGTTCCCTTTGTGCTGTGTTTGTTATTCATGAGTGTTTTACATCTCAGGGTGTGTCCTTGTAGCTTTCTTATAATATTTGCACACAAGTCTAAGTGAAACAACATTTTTAGTGTCAGTATCAAATCTTAGGATCGGTGCATATAAGACAAGATAAGATAACTTCACTGTCACTGCTAGCTGCAACCCACCATATTATAAAAACCCCAGTGTGATTAAAGAAATGTTGCACTTGGATTTAACAGAAACACAAGTAGTAGCAGTTGAACTGATACAGTTGATTAAAAACGATTTCTATCAACTACCATGTCTAGAAGACAGAACAGGATTTTATCCCAGGGATGATATAGTGTAAGATTTCTCAGACATTTAATTTGGGCTTTGATTTGGAGTGTATGTGTGTGGGCTGAGGTTCTGTGCACACGTCTGTGTGAAGGGAGGGTGATGACAGGACAGAGACACAGTAATGACAGAGATTTCACAATTTCTTGCCACAACACAAATCAAACTTGCCCTGGCCCGGTATCTGTGCTATTACCTCTCTTGAGATTTATTCACCCAAGGGAGCGATTATAATGTCCCACTTACCCACTATCTATTACGCTTCTAACGTCGGGCCTGTGTTCGGTGCATTATTTCGCTCTATGTTGTCGCCTCTGACACAAGACAAACTTGAAAGGCTCAATCCAGATCAAACTGAGTCAGGAAATGGAGATGTTTTAGATTAAGCTGTACTTGGGGAGCACATGACTCTGTGGATGTGACATCATCCTGAGGGTGCAAAGGGGAAACACATGTCTCAGCTGAACTGAATGATTGGAGCAAGCTGACATTGCAGCCTCAGCTGGAGGAAATGTGTGTGTGTTGCTGTGTTGCTGTGTTGCCGGGGTACGGCTTTGAGAAATGTCCACACGTTCTTCATGAGGAGAAAGAGTCCAAACAACTGTGGCACAGTTATCTCCGGGTGTATTATAAAGAGGAAACCCACACTTTACAATAAGCCACAAAGCCTGCAGTCAGGAATAATTGTACTATAAATCACAAGTTGCTGTTGTCAGGTGAAAACCTTGTATCTCCAACATTTTTAACTTAACTTTAGCACAAATCAATGGGATTTGAAAAAGTTGTGACTATAAGATAGATTTCTTATCTGACAGAAAAGCCTTTAATTCTGAACTTATTTGGAAATATGAAACATGAAAACTTGCCTGAAAACACGAAAATGTGGAGAGGCAG